GCCGGTGCAACCACGTACGTTGCACGCTAATCGATTTTTAACGCTTAACGTCATAAGAAGTCGTGACTGCGACCTTCAAAGAGCCTTTATGAAAAGAGTCTGTCTGCGCATTAAATTGTGTTTATCATTAGGCCGAAGTTCGCGAACTTTTATTAAATGCATTTACAAGGAGATCATGGATTAGTTAAAAGATCCGATTATAGGTTGTGGTTTGCTATATAAAAAAACAAATCAGATCTCAGCTTCAGAGGCTAGTTAATCAAGATTGTGGTGTTGTGCGACCGAAAAAACTGTAGAACATTTCTTACCCAGCCGTCCCGAGTGTCGATAGCAAATGTGTTTCGGAGTTCCGGAAAACCTCGGGTCCTCTTCACTGGTACTGATTTCGATTTCATCCGGAATTGTGGAATCTGCGCCAAGCAGAGTTCGTTGTTTTTTCTATTTGCACTGCGATTACCACTTACCAGTGTACACAGGTATCAGGAACTCGACGGCGTACACGAGGTACGATGCCAGCAGGTCAACCTGCCACAGAGCCATTCCGTCGGAGTCGCTGTTGCATTGCACATCGTATTTACCGTCAGTAGAAAAATTGGCATCGAACCACATCTTGCCGAACCTCGACTGAATTGCTGGTTTGTACAAAACAACGTCGAACGCTAAAAAGTCATTGACGTCAAGATGAAACTACTGACTAATGGTAGTCATAGACTTAAATCGCTCGAGCCTTGTGCTTCTCTCTGCTTTAAATCAAAGTAGCATACCTAGATACTAAATTTTAAAAAGGTTCTTTTGGTCAGAACCCGCCGTTACTGAATTGCTTTCGTCAGCGGCCATTTGATGCTTTTTAATACTATCGACTCGAATAGAAAACTACGAATAGACGGGTGAGGTTAAACGTACTTGGAAGAACGTACAGCTAATGCAAATGATACTTTAAATAAGTTACTAAGCAATCACAATGGACCAACTATGCACGTAAGACATCCGTTCATCTACTGCGTGTAACCGTTCAGCATTTATCTGTAGACTGATTTTATAAATTGCGTACTTCACTAGTTTGAAATTTCGACTCAGCTCCCCACTTTAATCAAGAAACCAGTTGTCGTGTTGATGTCTAAGACCGGTCTCATTCGTAAATCATCGCAGTGCTGCACTAAGTTCAAGTTTGCGAACCGATATACATTTGGTCGTTTTTCAGATCAGGGAATGTGCCGAATTTGTTTAAAATTCTTGCTACAGTCAGTGAGTACTTACAACTGCGAAAGTGGCCTATAAACCAAAGTGTTCAGATAAATGCAGGCACCATGAATCTAGAAACGACCGGCTATCCGCTAAAAGAAAAGACTAACTTTCCATCTATCAGACAATTCATTCAGTAAACACGCTTAATGGGCACCGAGTATAGAGAAACTTTAATAATGTTAGGCAGCATCATTTGACAAGAGTATAAACCAGGCTAAAGAACTCGACACTTGAATGACATATTGCAATAACAAATGAAAAGCGTTTGACGCATACTCAATGGAATCCATAAAACCAAGAAACTGCTTAGTTGATGGTTTATTGGAACCCTCAGATATTGCTCTGCATTATAGATTTTCTACTTATTTCAAGGGGTCTTAAACCACCTGGAAAGTTAGCCCTCTGCAAATATGAACTCATTCATAATGATTCAGTAAGTCTTTCACTGAACTGTTCTGGCATGCTATCATGGTCATTTCCATATATACTTCATTCTTCTGTGTCAAGTACTAAACGCTTCAGCAGCGGTCTGCGAAAAATGGTTTCTTCTCAGAAATGGCATTGAGCAGGGTTAATGCCGTGGCAATTCCACGGTTCATAAAATGATAATTACCGCACATGCGATTTAAAAACTAGCGGCTACCAATATGTGAATAAGCACTAAGACAATTTACGCTACGATACTGCTGACGTAATAAATGAATCGAGAGCATCGATTAACGTGTGAACTCTTTGCTTTTTATATAATTTTTTGATATTATCTTCCAACATATCATCCAAAATATGCTAGGCGTTTGTAAAAACTTATCTAACTTGTAAATACTTCGGTAATACAGATTTAGGTGATTAATTGTAGCGAAGCAGTGATCTGAACCATCAAGAAGGTAGGAGTTGTCATTTAGATGATCGAAATCGACAAAGCTCCAAATCTTTTTGAGAAGACTACCAATCAAGGATCTGAAATTTAACTATAGACACTGAGGGTCCACGACTACGACGTTACGATATCACGGGACCACTGCACAAGACTGTATTCCCAAGCTGTGCTTGTGGCAAGAATCGGAAAAGAATACTTATCGTTAGTCTTAGTGAGGCAGCAAGATGTCAAGTCATGTAGTGTCACGTCATGCTACGGCCATAAAAGATTCAGAAAATTGATGGAAAAAGTATCAAGACAATATTACACAGTTGAACTACGTGGTCAGAGCCAAACGGCATGAAGCACAGAAGCATGAACGGGCATCGCTGAACCGATTGCTTTCGAAAGTGGCTTGACCTGACCACCATGAATTGGAATCCAACATCATCATGAAAGATTGAGGCAAACGATCTGCTGTAGAGCATCATGTCACCTACGTTCTACATCTGGTATTGCACAAACTGACTCACAGCAAGAAACGATTACGTCCTAAGTTTCTAGCACGATGCATGAAAACATTCTGCCGACCTACTGGTTGGTTTTTACGAACTCCCCTAACGCTGTGCGAAGCAAACTGGAAATATATAACAACCACCTCGTCAGAGTCAAAACGGAGACTGGAAAGGTAAAAGGAGACCGTTAAGATGAATGCAATTGTAGAGACTGGCGAATGCGGAGGTCTCTCAGTGGAAAACAGCTGCTGGCGTTAGCCGAAATGATTTCTGACTTAAAAGGCGTGAAAATGATGCAAGAACTCAGATGCCTTAGGAGCCTTCTCACCGATCACCGGTGAATGACACACATCTTGGCAACCGGTATTCGGAGACAGTACTCCAAAATTCGTTACCCTCTGATGGGAAAACGCTTTTCTGCTGAATGCAACTCATTGAAAGCACTTTGACCCAATAAGAGTATTTCAATATTCAGAATTACCCAGAGTCATGCATAGTTTCCTCAGACATGAGACTTCAAGGCAACTGTCGTAGCGCACTATCTCTGCACCTGATTATTGCTTCATAAAAATGAACTATAAACCTGAAACAGTTCCTATCAGCAACACGCACAGCAGTCCTGAAAAACTGTAAAATGGTTATATGCATGACAGTCAGAGTATGAATGCCTTGAGATTTTTTGCTCACTGAAACTCGAAGTCAGTTGAGTAATTACATGAAACGTTTAGAGCCATAAAAGTGCCCTTTTACTCGAACGTTCTTGAAGGTCATAGATGAATGAACAATCTTCGTCTAGACAAGAATCTTTTGTCAGAAAAAATCAGATGATTAGAAAAGTCAAGGACAGAAGAAACCATAAGGTAGCTAGTTGTACGAGTTCTTCTCACAGGTTTCCGTGAACGATCCGAGCGTGTTTTTAACTACTGTTTTTGTACTAAATCCTGACTTGCAGCTATCACCGATGAAACCGCCAGTCTAAACAATCGTATTATGCGATGCATAACTATTTTTCCATACTACTGTAATTCGATCATTTGGAAATTTGCATTAATATGCTGCTCAAACTTAGCTTTCCTTCGCTAATGGCAAAATCATGATTTAGCATTGGACTGAATAGTATGAGTAAATTACAGTTCTATTTTATAGGCTAAGGAGAGAGCGACAACTATTTTTCGTGAATTCAATAACTGATAATACGGATTGTATTAAATTTTGCGTAACCGGAATCATTAGCTACATCCTGTTATACACTCCGCTGAGGTTATGAAATATAATCCTGTTAATTCGGCTTTAGACCTCCGCTTAAAACAAAATCAATATTGCAAATTTGCCTCAGCATTCCACACTGCGTATGTAAAGAATGGAGGATAAACGATAACCAGTGTGTGAATTCGCGCACTACGGTTGAGTATGACGTTGTGTATTGTCCATGACGTTATTGTAGCCGTCAAAATTTCTCCAAAATTCCCAAACGACTGGTCAATTTGGGGTGGTGATAAGCATGGACTGCAACATCAAATCTCCTTTATGTTCAGGCAAATCTTGTCGACTTAGAACGATACTCCGACTACAAACAGGAAAAGAAACCGCTCTGATTGGAGATCAGCGCTCGCATTTTTCCCTGAGGAAAACATGACAAACTCATTATATGATTTACCATGTTCTATAGAAGATTATGGTTCCACGGCTGAACGGTACGATTATTCGAAAGATTCTCCAGAAAAATGTCGCGAAGTGATGCAACTAAATCCCACGCAAAGAGACACCTGAGAAATGCATTCCTTCAACGTCACATTTCTCATGGTGTGGTCATCTTTCTCTTTTCAAACTGCAGTTTAAGAAACTGAATCGTTAAGGTGCAAAGTTCACTGAGGGAGCGAACCAGAAGTTACTAATTAGTATGAATGAAAAATAAACAAAAATGGCAGTAGTTAGTTTTCTCTCCTAGGACCATCGGTTGAAAGACGAAAAAACGCTAAGGCAAAGCCTTGTCGCTCCAGGAACGGAAAGCTGCGAGAATTTTGTAAAAGAGGATAGGAGTCTCTAGCTTATGTGAGGAATACTGATCGATCGATTGACCGATTGACGTCGAAAGTGAAGTTGAAGTTGAGGAAAAAGTTACCGCAAACAGGCGAGGCGTGGGACCATGATCCGTTGGGCTGGCACACCCGTTGTTCGGAGCCGAGCAGTACAAAGTCCTCGTCACATTTGTAGGTGATGACTGATCCGACGGCGGAAGGCTCTCTACTATAGAAGATGACGCGTCCGTTCTCAGGCACTTCCGGCTGGCCGCACTGCATGACTATAACAACGACATGAGTGCTTGCGAACAAGTGTCCGGTGATGAACAGTGGTCAATCGATCGATGACTCGAACGACCCAAGATGTCCGAAGTACTTACGTTCAGCTCGAACGAAAAATGCCAGAAGAAGAACTGTGCTCAGTTGCAAATCCATTCATGTCCGCGACAGGTGCCATGTGGCGGTTGGTAGATCGTGGAAAAGCTGCGATCGCAATCAATCGCGGTGACCGAACTGGTGACCATCAGCCGGCCTGATGGACGCACAGCAGTGGACTGGTTGGCAGTGCGGAAAGTATTGTCGTCGTCAGCCGTCGTCCCTCAGCCTCGTACGCACGCATGCACGCACGCACGCACGGTGATGGTCACGCTGAAGGTAGTGGTA